GTAACCCTGATGGAACATGTCCAGGTGTTGACTGCTTTCTGGCTCATCCTGGCCACGTGGGCGGCCCCAGCGACCCTCTACTTAGCAGCAACTGGAAAAGTACATTCTTCCTGAGCTACGCTTACGCGTCCTTCAGCCCGTACGCTCATCTACACGCTGGGCCTCTCCAAGGTCCTCAAGCACAACCGAAACAAATGCGGATTCTGCCTTTCCTCAAGGCCCCTGCCTCCGCTCCCCCGCCTGTCTTCATCAGCGGAATTGCCGTCTACTGAATCGTCCGGGCTAGGAACATCAGAATCGCCTGTGAGGGCTCCTTCGTTTTCATCGTCACAAGTGACTGTGCGACAAGCCCCATGAATCTGACCTGGTCGTTTCTTTCGCATGTGATCCTCACTGTTCAGTCCTTTAGCTTGAGAACGTCAGGCATTTTCCCCAGATGCTTACAATGGATTCCTAATTCGTACCAACCCCCTTGTCTGTGCGCTGCCTACCCCTCCTCTACCTTGGCCATAAGAAATGTCTTTCCAACTCTCTTCCACGTCGAAAAACATAAAACGCCTTCCCTTTGCCTAAATCATTAAGTCCGGACTCAAATGCCACGTGATTTCTTCATTACAGACAAACTTCCAAACTTTAAGGGAGTTCGACTCTGGCTAAAGAGGTAGCTTACACAGGGCATTTAAAAATATTTTGGTTTCTGAAAATGCGTTCTGCTAAATAGTTCTGAATTTGTTTAAAAGAACCTTAAGCAAAACAAATCTTCCCTCACACAACTGTCAAGATGAAAACAGACATAATGTTAGCGCTTTTTTTTTTAAAGCTTAGTAAACACATGGAGGAGATACATGCAGAAACCCACAACTGATTTAATTTGCAAAACCACAGCTTTAGCTCCACTAAAGTAAAGATGACTTTGATAAAATACAACCAGAAAACTGAGATAAAAGATACGGGGTAAATAAGTTAAGCTGACGACTTAGCAAGCAAGCCTCGTGGGTGGAGCATGAAGTTCTCGGAAAGCTTTGGACGAGAAAGCCGTTAGACTGACCCCAGGGAGCCCCTGGGAGCGTCATGCTCCCCGGGGAATCCCTGCTTGC